CTCTCTCTCTGTCTAATTCACTGTCTGTAACGAGGCTATAGAAACCATTAGAAGTATTTTCAAGGTCGAAGGGGGCTCTATTACTCAAAAAGCACTTCACCAAACCGTTGTTTTCTGAGTCAGCATCATGTACATTCATCACAGCCACAACTGTTTTAAAGTTGGAATCTTCAGATATAGATTGTGTTGTTGACATTAAATCTATTACTGGATTATTGTCATTCATATCTGTGATATCAAATATAATCTTACATGAGTCACTAAGCCCACCTTGATCTTTAGCTTTAATATTTAGTTGGTAGTATTTTGATGTTTCATAGTCCACATTGCCAATCAAGCGTATCTCTCCATTTATTTCATTAATTTCAAACAGATCAGAAATACCATGAATGTTATTGGATATGGAATATGTTATTAAACCATTTATTCCTTGATCTATATCCGTTGCGGTTACAGTCATTAATAAAGATCCTTTTGGAGAATTTTCCATCAAACTTCCTTTATATGTCGGCTCTGTAAACTCTGGGGCATTGTCATTTACATCTAATACATGTATGTGGATTTGCACGGTCCCTGACTGTTGAGGGTCTCCTCCATCAACAGCAGTTAATGTTAGCGTCAGTCTTTCATTTTTCTCCCGATCGAGTGGTTTCTCCAAAACCATTTCTACTTCTTTCCCCCCATCAGAATTCTCAGAGAGTTTTAAAACAAAATTATCAGTAGGATTAAGGAAGTAGTTTTTAAGCCCATTTATTCCGACGTCTGCATCCAGTGCTTTTTCTAGTTCAAATTTGGACCCTTTTACTGCTGATTCGCTGATCTCAAATAACATTTCATCCATCTTAAATATTGGGGCGTTATCGTTGATGTCCGTTATTTCTAAGGTAACGCGGTAAAATTCAATAGGGTTTTCCAAAATTATTTGAAAATGTAAAGCACACGGTATTGTTTGTTTGCACAATGCTTCTCTGTCTATTTTATCTTTCATTAGAAGTAGCCCCTTGTCTTTATCCAATTGAACGTATTCCATGCTGTTGCCAATATGCAAACGAGCTTTTCCCGTTTTCAACCGCTTTATGTCCAAACCTAAGTCTTGAGCAATGTTACCGACAAACGATCCTTTTTTCATTTCCTCTGGAATAGAATAACTGACCTGTCCGTGAACGAACAAGATGGAGAAGGCGAAGAGAAAAAATAGTACTTGACATCCCATTGTTCAGGTCTGCGTTTTTCAGTCAACTCGACGAATTGAAAACAGGAATTAGATAACGGGTATTCGTCAAAGTCCACATGTGAAACTAGCCAAAGATAAAATCAAAGGTCAACAAAGATATTCCAAAAATCCAACACCATATTATAATATCACCAGAGAAAGGGAGCGAGCATTGCTGTGTCGATCTTTCTTCCTACGTATCTAAATGATCTGGGATCAAGGAGGCGCTGCAGAATCGGTAGTCAAACACATATTAGTCGACAGCGTCCCTAAGAGTGCAAAACACGAAACTACACAAAAACACGCAACTTAGTCAAACTGCTAAATTTAAAAGCATGAGCAAGATAAATCGCTGCGATGAAGGAAGACAAAAAAGACACCACCCCTTCAAAAAAAAAAAAAAGGGGAAAAATGAATGAGATTGTGTGTGTTCTCATTAGGCATTTATAGATTACTTTTAGGCAGATAACTACTGCTGGAAGAACATTAAATACCAATTAATAAACAACAAAAAATACACTGACAAATGAAAGTGACAGCAAAGTCAACCAGAAAATCAGAAGAACGTGAAAATCACCAGCACAGCTGTGTGTCTATCAGAAGTAATATGAGTGTGAACCCTTTCATTAACCCTATTTAACAAAGAGGCAGTTACTATCGGTAATGGTGGAACACAATTTAAAAGAAATGTTAAAAAGAAAACAATCAAATAAATTAACATGTTTGCCTACAGAAATGATAAATTCCGAAAATATATACATATAGTATCACCTTTTTGCAAGAGGACTAACCTCTAAAGGTGAATCGGGTTCATCCAGTATGCTCTTCTCACTCTGCATCCGCTGCATGGTTCCTGTAGAACTGGG